AAAATCGAGATCGGGTCTGATTTTTGTAAAGGATGAATTTTTGTAAAAAAATCTAATAAGGATGATTTTTGAATTGGTTTGAATTGGTTCAGTTAATAGTAAATACATAAATATATATATATATATATATATATATATATATATTTAGATATGATTTTTATAATATTCATATCTCAATATTTTATTTTCAATTAGGTCTCTATTTTACCAAAAACATATTTTTCATATATATATATTTGTATCGAGTTAGATACGAATTTTTATCTTAAAATTTGAGTTAAATTTCGGGCCGAATATAGTTATCCTAAACTCAAATAAGTTCGAGTTCAAGTGTAAATATTATATTAGATCAAATTTACCAAAAATTCTACTAAACTATTTACCATTCCTATACATAGGTTAAGGCTATAAGAATTGGAATTTTTTATTTTTTATTTTTTACAAAAGATAGTATGCAATCAAAGGCCAAATATGTAGTAAAATGAGGAACCAAGAATAAAGAAAGAGATGCAACAAGTGGTCAATTCATACGCGTTGCAATCGATGTGTATTGGACCCCCTATACTTCACCCCAGAAGGAGTGGCCAAATCGCATTGTAAAACCACACCATCTTCTTCCCGACCCCATCATTCCATCTATTTTGTTCCCCAAATGTTAGACTTCTACTTGTTTTGGGAAGTGTGCCCGTTTGTAAAGGGTTGCAGGCCACTGACTAATGAACATCTCACAAATAACAAAAGCTTCAACATCTGCCTCTCAAACCCTAAATGAATATATAAACTTCAACACCACCACCAATCCAGATCTTTCACTATGAGTAGTTCCTTCTCACAATGATTCTAACATCAGAAACCCTGGTTATATTTGGGTAAAATCATTTCCATAATCAATCATAATCATATATTATATATATTAATATTAGTTACGACCCACCTACACAATTTTATGTGTTTTTTAATATTTGAATAAATAAACAAATGGATACTGAGATTAAATATTTTAAAATGAAAACAATTCATTTATTTTTTTCTATAAAAAAAATACTAATGTCCTATTGTTAATCTCGGTTATTTGTTTTCACTCCTCTCTAACTATTCTAAAAAATATAAAAAACTTAAATATTTTACACTATATCAAATAGATCATATTTCTCTCTATATAAATATATATGAAAGAGGTGGAAAGCAATCATGGTGGACGCCTCTTGAAATAAAAGCTTGAGTTTCACACCTTAGAATAAAGAGGGGAAAAAAGGGAGAGCATTGAGTTATATACGAGTGTAGTTAGGTTAAAACCATTGATTCTTTCTTTTCTTTTCCTTTTTAATTTTGATGAAAAGGGATTTAGAATTTACTGAATATTAGTTGGGTTAATAAATTATTATTAAAATAGTTTAACAAATTTGAGCATGCTTAAACGTGTTTTTGGCAGTTTGGAGCAACAAATAATAAACAAAAGCTTGGATTGAGAGAGACAAAAATGAAAGGGAGAGAGAGAGAGAGAGAGAGATAGAGAGAGGAATTTGGAGAGTGGTCGATTTCCAAAAGGGATTTAAGATCCTAAAAGGATCTTCGTTTGCAGGTTACGCTAACTCTTATAACTACAATTATTTTATTATTACAAACTGCTAATTATTACATTAGATATATAAGTGCAGCATGTTTGATTTCGGATTACTCATGAATCATTATGTAAAGTTTAACCAAATGTTATAGGCATAGTCAACCTAACAACTCAAATTAGTCTCTATTCTTCTTGCATATATCTCCCCGGCCTGTGTAGATTATAATGCCATTAAGTTGGATCATTTTGGTTTTCCATGTCTTAAACTTCTACTACTTAGCTTGGGACCGTAACTCCTTTTCGTGACAACAACAAAGTATCGATAATTAAACAGGACCGCTAGATTGACCATTCTGGTGGCATGTCTAGCCTGTTGCATTCCTGATTGCTGTTGTTGCTTCATTGTTTTAGTTAGGGCTGGACTGACGCCCTAAAAATTTTAAAGATATTTTAGATATTTTTATTATACTTTTTATTAAAAAATTATTTTTGTCATTTGAAATTTTATATGTTTGTTTCTAACATAAAATATTGCATCTGGCCATAATTTTAATATTAAAGTTTTGAACTAAGTTATAAATATAAATTATGTACGGAAAAAATATAAAATATTGCATCTGGCCGTAATTTTATTATTAAAGTTTTAGTTTTAGTTTTGGACTAAGTTATAAATATAAATTATGTACGGAAAAGAACTAAAGTTCAAACATTTAATGATGAATTATTATCTATTTATTTATACAATTATCTAATTCTAACATTTTTGTTAAAATTTATTAGGTTTAATAAATATATTTATTTTTTCGGATACCAAGGGATATCTTATTACCGGTATAAGGGATGGAACAAGGTAAGTAGAAGTTGTCCTCCACCATCACTTCACAATTTATACACTAACACTCTACTTCAAGTCTTCACCATTCATCTTGTTATATTACGAGTATAAAATATTAAAAATTGTTATTATCTTTTTGAATTAAAAAATATATTATTATATCCCGTGATAGATTGATCTTATGTTTAACTATAGGAATATGATGGCTTTTCTAATCTAAAATTTGATTTTTTTTTTATTAATTGTCTATTTTATTAGTTATATCTACTTTAAAATTTTATTTGTGACTACTTATTTTATGTTGTTAATATATATTTGCATACTCTTAAAAATATTTTTGAATTCATTACTAATCATATTAATTATTTATATATTTGTATACACTATGCCATATTAATTATTTATAATAAATAAATTAAAAACTCATCAAACTATCCGAGTTTTATTCTCTAATTACTAATTTCTTTATAATTAATTGTCACAACAATGGCGGAAGGTAGAAGAGATTAGTGGGGCCATGTCCCCTCAAAAATATTAAAAAAATAATATACATATAGGGTAAACTATAAGTTTAGTACCTAAATTATTACTTTGTTTCATTTTGGTACTGAAGCTTTATTTTTTTTCAAAACCATACTTAAACTAACCGTTAGATATAATTTTGACAAAAATTTTATGTACCAAAACAGAACAAAAATAATAGTTTAGCTATTAAATATATTGTTTACCCTATATATTTATACACATATATATTAAATTATTAAGTTTGACCTCCTACAAAATTGTGTATAATAAGTTATTAAATCTGGTTGCCCAGAAAACGTATATACAACTTTGGAATTTGAAAATCACTTAAATATCATTTATTGAAAAAGTTTAACATTTATTTTTTTATTTTTTTATTTTTAAATAAATGAAAATTCATTTTTCTTTTTCATTTTTTATTTCAAGATATATTTTTAAAAATTTTTTTGTTTAGTTGTTCATCTTCTTTTAACTGTTTATTTTCTTTGAATTGAAAACTTCAATCAATTTATCAAATATTTAACTTTTAATTTCATTTTAGTTGAATTGAATTTTTTAAAATTATTTTTAATTTATATTTATGATTTTATTTTAAATATCTATGTTTATTACGTGTATTCGTAAATTTTCAGTTCTAAAAACAAAATTTTAGATAACATTATTATCAATACATTTTATTTCTTTGAATTTTTATATAAACAAATAAATTTAAATATTTATTAAAAAAATATTAGTATGATATTTTGATATATAATTTACACTAAAAAATGTTAAAATATTTTAATTAATATATAAAAATTAAATAGTCCCCTCATAAAATATTGCTGATTCCCGCAACTGTGTGTGAAACCAATTTGATACGGAGGATGACAATGTTTAATTTGTAATTTTGATTATTTTACACGAGAATAATAAGCTGAAACTGAAATCAGAAGTGGAAGTGAGGGTCCTTCAGTAATTGAGTTTTGTCTTTCTCTTTGTTTATCTTCTACGTAAAGAACATTGTCAATCAACCAAACCCTATCCGCCACGTGGATTCCAATATTCTCCTCAATCAACTTTTGTTTTTTTTTTCATATCATGTTTTATTCCTTCTCCATAATACATGTCGAGAAATCATTTGAAGGCCGTAATCCAAATATGAAATGACAGTATCATCCCTAGAAGAAGTTCACAATTTTATCTCTTGTCTCCGTCTTTGAATTTGAAATTCGAAAGGGGCTTTTTTTGGCAAAATGGAAGAAAGCAAGAGGGCGTGAGAGCCGACAACGGCGGATGGAAAGAATGACAGCGTGGACGGTCCTTTGGCGGCAACACGTGGCCGGTGTTGTCGTGGTGTATGCCAACGTGGCATATGTGTCAAAAGAGTTTAAAAACGGAAAAAGAAAGGACAAATTACAGCAATTATCACGAGAATATTACGACACGTTAAAGTTAGAGAACTTTATAACAAAAACATATATATTCTAATGCTAACTTAATCATAGGGATTAGTCACGTCAAAATGAGTTCAAGGTTTTATTTATATATTATTTTCGTTTATAATTTATAAAATCTATTAATTAAGAAAGCCTTAAAATATTATATACTTCGTTTGTCTCATAATTTGTGTCACATATATATCTGATAAAAAGAAATGATAAAATTAACCCTAAAAAGTTATTAATAAATTTGTTTTGATAGTTGTAAAAGAGTGAGACATATAAGAGTAAAAAAAGAAAATATAAGTGTTGTTGTTTATTTATTTTTCTAATAGAAAATTTTGAATGAAACAATTTTAAAAATCAAAATGAACACATTTAGTAGAACAAAGATAATTATATTTTCTTTCAAATTTGTGTATATCACATGAAATTCATGTAATGTTTGTATTTATATAATTTTTTCTTTTATTTATTTTTAAATGAAAAAATAATTAGCATTTTTTAAAAAGAAAGGGAAATAGTAATTTGTGTAGGAAGATAAGCAAAGACAATGGTACTTGGGGACAGCCATCAACCATGCGCAATCGAGCGGTCCTCCCTCCCAACCCCCTCCCCCTTTTATATTCTCTTGTATCTCTCTCTTTCTCATTTGTCTCTCCCTCCTCACATCTTCTTCTTCTTCTTCCTTTGTCGTCTTCATTTTCTTCATTCCAATTTCTAAAAAACGAATAATTTAGCTACACAAGAATAGTTAATCCAGGTATGCTTTTTGAATTTTCATGGAAAATCAACTTTCAGTTTCAGCATTCTCGTTTATTCTTACCTCTAATGTTCTAGCACTGTTGAGTGTCGACTCCGTCACCTTCTTGCATAAGTTTTACACCGGGTGCTTGTGTTTTTCATATTTTTCTCTTTATTGGGTCAAAGAAGCTACCCAACTTACTGCATACCTAGAAGACGGTAACTTATTTTTTTGTCATTTGCAAAACCTAACCCAGGGTTCGAAATATGAATCTTCGCCTCTGCAAGTATAAGCCTTACCGCAATCTGAATAAGTTTAGGTCATGTTCTTGTTTGATTATGAGTCTAGGGGTGAGAAATTCTATGGAAATTCTCGACAAACAGACAGTTGACAGAGTAGTCCATTTTCGTTTGCAATGAGACAAAGACTCTGCAAGTGCTTCCAATTCAAAACTGTTTTTTTTTTCTTCTCTGTATAGATCCGATCAAACGAAACTTTTTTCTTGTTTGTTTGTTTTTCAAATAACGCGTGCTTAATTGTTATAGCTACGTCATCCACCTTTTTCTTTTGCCCAATCTTCAATTCACTATACTATATGATTATAAAATATTATCATTAAATATTAAATTTATATAAAATTATACACAAACCCTTTTAGTAAAACTTTATTTCATGATTCTTACATGCTAGAACACATTTTTCTTTAATAATTTTTTTTTTACTAATTGTTAATAATTTAGTAATGGAAACCCCGTTCTAGAAGCTATCATTTCCACCATTCACCCAACACTAGACAACATCATTCCCCCAAACCTCTACCTGTCCGTTTTAGATCTATCTTACAGCACGAATCGAGAGAAAAAGGAATATGTTACAAGTTCTCTCTTGGTTTTTATCAAAGACAAGGTCAAATGATTTGGTCTTTTCCTTTTTCACCTCTTACAAATTTTTTAAAACATTAATGTTTTATAAATAAGAACCATGGCGGGTGATATTTGCTCACTACGGAATAAGCTAGCTTCCATAATTATGATAACCCTAGTTACCTTTCTAATGGGAGAGTTCAGCATTTTTTTCAACCTTTCTTTTTCCCTTTTAACATTTTACCTTTAGTTTTCTTTCTTCTCTAAGGTTATTTATATATATTGGTTATGCTTTAGAGATGATGGAAGTTATAAAAGAGTGGTGAATTTGACGCAGTTATGATGGAGTCAAGTTCTGTCCCACCAGGATTCCGGTTCCACCCCACCGACGAGGAGCTTGTTGGCTATTATCTGAGGAAGAAGGTCGCTTCACAAAAGATCGATCTCAATGTTATCGGAGATATTGATCTCTACAGGATCGAACCCTGGGATCTTCAAGGTTCTTTTCCTTATTCTTTTGATCAGATTTTTAAGATCGATCCTTAGCTAGGGTTTGTTGTTTAAGTTTTAACCCAAGACATGGATGCATCATGTTAACTCTAAACTATATATATATATATATGTATGTATGTATGTATGTATGTATATATGTATGTATATATATATGTATGCGTGTGATGTGAATATTGGTGATGATGAGCAGATAGATGCCGGATCGGATACGAAGAGCAAAAGGAGTGGTATTTCTTCAGCCACAAGGATAAGAAGTATCCGACGGGGACGAGGACTAACCGTGCAACCATTGTGGGTTTTTGGAAAGCGACGGGGCGGGACAAGGCGGTGTACGATAATAAATCGAAGCTCATCGGCATGAGGAAGACACTCGTTTTCTATAAAGGAAGAGCTCCGAATGGGCAGAAAAGTGACTGGATCATGCATGAATACAGGCTTGAAACCGACGACAATGGATTTCCTCAGGCAAGTACATTTATAATTATATAGTATTTAATTTACTTTTTTAACTCTTTAACTATCAGTTTATAACTTTCTATGTCGTCTCTCTCTTTGTCAACACAAGTTATTTAATTAAAGTGAAAAAGGTATTATTATTAGTCGTCCAACATTCTGAGTAGTTTTGAACAGGCTCTTTCTTGACCTAATATTTCAAACTTTCTTTTTCGAAGAAAGGGTTAGGCTTCCATTTCTATACATAAGGCCATGAAAAAAACAACGTAATCGACTAGGAAACCAAACCTTTTTATATATAAGAGAAAGGGTGGGGGTTGTTCAAGATCCAACCCCAGGACCAATGCGATTACTATGTCTAGTACAGTACTACTATAGATTTTGTCCATTGAAATTGAACTTTTAGTAAAGATTTTAATAGATGGTTGATCTAATTATGATTTTATTGCTTATGATATCTTAAATTTGGAATATAATTTCGTAATTTAATTTGATAGTTTGGTATTTTTATTTTTATGATATTAATTTATTTTATTGATGATATTATTAATTATTGCACTTAAAAAATAATATATTTTTAGATGATTTTTAACATTCGACATACATAAACTTATAATTGATCGAATGTAGTTGACTAAATTTTCACATAATCTTATGCGGCTGAATAACCGTAAAAAAATCATATTATTAATATATAGAGTAAATGGTTAAAAGCTATCGAATCACAACTCTCTTCTTCTTTAAATTGTAGGTTCAATAACCAATAGGAGTAAAATTTTCCCACTCCTTCTCCTCGGTAGGAATTGTTTAAAATAATAATAATAATAATAATAATAATAATAATAATAATAATAATACCCGATGTGTTATTAATTTAGAACTACTAATAATATTTTTAAAGTAAATGATAAATTACGTCGTAGTAAAATAAAAATATTAAATCTCAAATTTCAGTATTATAGAGAGACTAAAACTATAATCCCATATAACTAATGTTGAATATGCTGCACTATATAGAATTTAAACGATGAAAGGGATCATTTTTTTTTTGCTATCCATAGAAAAAACTTTTTTTAATTAATCATTGATATTTTATTTATAGATCAATTACTCTATATTTAATTTTATAGAGATTCATTATAGGAACTCTTTCAATTCAGTTTATTTTGTTCACAAATTTTAGAGTTTAAACCTCTAATATTACTTAAAAAATCTAATAAATCATCCTACTATACCACCTACTAGTTGTTGATTAAAAAGATCATTTCTACTAATATGTAAACATAAGTGTATAGGAAAAAGATTTCGACAAAAAGAATAATCGAAAAGGGCATCAGTATAATTTTTATAGTAAAAACTAGGGTAAATTATATCAATATCAACCTTCATGTTCTTCTATCTTATATGTTATATAATTTATATTGGAGATTTGTGATTATATTAATCTCTTGTATTAACAAATAACAATAACTTAAGTTTTGCAGGAGGAAGGATGGGTGGTTTGCCGTGCTTTTAAGAAAAAAACCACCGGCAGTCAAGCCAAGAGCATAGGCGGTGGGTGGGAGTCGAGCTACTTCTATGATGAACCAGGTGGTCTCAGCTCGGTGGTTGATCCCATGGAATACATGTCCAGGAAATCCCAGAGTTTTTTACCTTTGTGTAAGCAAGAGATGAGGGAGGCTGATAATTTGAACGACTTTGTTTACTCTGATCAGTTTATAGAGCTTCCTCAGCTAGAGAGCCCATTAATGAATAAGCCAAGCTCGATATCTCTCGTATCAGAGAATAATAATATTAACTACGAAGACGAAGATCAGAAAAGAATGTTCAACAACTCCAAGAAAGTGACTGATTGGAGAGCCCTTGATAAGTTTGTTGCTTCACAACTGAGTCATGAAGATAGATATAATAATCAACAAGAAGGAGCCTCGGTCTCAAGCTTTGATGCCAATAATTGTAGTAACTTAGACATGGCGTCGCTGTTGTTACATAGTAGTCGAGAAGAAGGGAACACGTTGAGGGAGCTATTGAATTCAAGTTCAGATTGTGATATCGGAATATGCATATTTGATAAATGAAAGGAGACGATGAAGAGAGCATATCGCTTAAGTATTAATTATAAATATTTTATCCATAATGAGACTTATTTTTGTGAAAAAACAAAATATATATATGGTTGTGAAATGAGTGATGAAATTCTCTCTAAAGTAGCTAAAATCAGCAGTTGGGAAATAAAAATCCAGTATTTCCCCCCCCCCTCATCTTTAACTTGATTTTCTCGGAAACTAAACATAATATAAGACCAATGGCAATGGAATGATGGAATCTCCATTAAACAAAATACCCAAAATCCAAAAACTAAGAAAATCTCGGTGTAGGGTTAGTGGGGCCATGGTTTGTCTAGCATGCGCTGGGCAACGTGGCTCCTGCTGGGGCATGCCTCAGAAGTTGTCTTTATGGGTATATGTTTCACTTTGACCATATGCAGCTCATGGCTTAATTATAATTAATAGATAATTAATTAACTTTTGGGTATAATTAGCAATCAATGTAACGGTTGACCAAAAACAGAGCACCCTTTTGTTTTTTTGGAGAACAATGATGCTTAATCATAGCATACAGATAAAGCAAAACCAGACAACTTTTTTCATGCAAAAGATAAGGTAGAAACACACCTTGATGAGGAGAATAAACGCATTTTGAGATTGAGCACTAAACAATCACAAACTTTGAAATGTCATACTGAAAAAGCTTTTCTTTTTCCGATTGAAATGACACAACAGCTTCTCGTCAATGATGTATGGGTTGATAATATAGGCATGGCCTATGTGATGATCTTCACACATTCTTCGGAGTTGAAACTATGGTGATCTCATTGACTTTTTATCATGTGAAAACTCAGAAATACGGGTTCATCCCTTAGCTGCTCCTTCAAATCCTTATCAATCCACTCTGTTTACTCGCAATGTTTCCATGCAAAGAATCATACCAAGTTTTAGTAAGATAGTTTATGTATCCCATTTTAAATTTAAATAAGTTTATATATATATAATTGTTTGAAGTTAAATCTATTTAATGAAAATAATATTTTCTTTATCACGTACAAACAAAGTGGTTACTTTAAGTTTGGATGAATATGTATTTTAACATTTTAACTTGTTTTTGCAAACTACAAATTTAATAGTTATTTTTTATTCTAATTTGGTTTTAATATTTAACTATTTTTTATTTTTGTTTAATTAGATACTTAAATTTTGTTTTTAAGTTTAAGTTGGTTCTTAAACTTTACTTCATAATTTAAAATTGGTTCAAATAAATCATTTACTATAAGTAATATTTTAAAATAAAAAATAAAATCTAGATAGCAATCTAAACAGACAAGTCAAGTTTAGGTACTTATTTTGACAAAATAAATACCTTAAATCTAAGAAAGCCTCAAACTCAAAAAATTGTAGATTTTTTTTATTGGCGTGCGTTTTAAATAGGTTTTGAAAGACAAAATAAGTACCTTAAATCTAAGAAAGCCTCAAACTCAAAAAATTATAGATTTTTTTATTGACGTACGTTTTAAATAGGTTTTGAAAGGTAGCGATTTTCGAATGCGCAACTAAAAATAGGTAAAAACTCTTACTTTGATGAAGAAGATGATGAGGTGGAATCAAAACTTATTTTTGGTTTTCACTTCAGCACACATTGGTACTATGGCATTACTAAATTATCATATCATTCGATTGTTAATATATTAATGGTCTAGTGTTATAATTGAAGTTGAAACCAAAGTACAATACTATAATTAAAACATTCTAATATTTAATAATAAAATTGATACAAACTTTAAAGTTTAATGTACTTGGTGTAGTTTACCACTTTACCCTAACTTCTATAGGTATAACGAGAGCCAAAGCTAGTTTAAATTCCATTCAACTGGCATGTAAATTTTCTCAACTTTGCATGCATTAAAGGATTTTTTTTATTCACTGGTCTGTTTGTGTGCTTGCTATCTGTTGAGCAAGAGAATATGAACAAAACGATGTGCACGGAATAAATATTGATCAATAAGTTATGCACCTATAAAATAGTGTAGTTGCCGTTCATGTGGATTAGGTCTCTAGATTTATAGGAAATACCCTTTCATACACTTTCTCCCTCTTAGACAACTCAATATCTTCACCAATTGCTCAAGAACCCAACTCTGTTTTTCCACCTAATAACCTCTCTTGATTTACCTCAATCCTTAAATACCATTTATGAATCACCACATGGTCTGTCCAGTTCAACCCCACATACCTAAACACCACTTCTAAAAACTCTTCCAGCAACATCCACATAGCTTCCACGTAAGCTCCATCAAAACCCCAATCCCTCGAAACTTGCAGATTCCCCAAAAAACAAGTTACTTTGTAGTTTGTAACTAACTCTTGATCCTGCAATGGCCCGAGTAATATTCCGGGTCACGAACTTGTCCCATCTCTTCGGTGAATCGTGATTAAACAGAATACCATTACAAGCGAAATACCCATATTCCTCCCTATAATTGACAGTGTACCAATGCGCAGCGCATTTGGAAGCAGCGTATGGAGATCCGGGGTGAAACAAAGAACATTCAGATTGTAGCAGAGTAGATCCGAACATTTCCGAAGAACAGGCTTGGTAATACTTGTATCAATAACAAACAAAGGTAGCATTTACAACGTGTGTCGGCAATATGGGATCAAACAGCTCCCGTAGCCACCAAGACACCGGCGCAATCAAGGATTTCGAAAGAGAGCTACATGGTATTGGTCAGCTAAACTGTTAAACTCATCAGGCCGGTTCAGATTGTATCGATCCAACAACAAAGCAAGGAAGCAAAAATGATGTCAGCGTAATGCATGTTCTAGTTAATATGTAAAACTAACTTCAAGTTAGCAAGATCAGAATCCAAAAAGTCTATAACAAAGTGGAAAAGAAGCCCCCAGAACATTAACCACAATCTAATCCTTTCCCTTGTTGAACCACGAAAACGGGCATTTACTTCAGGATAAGATACCAATAACAAGTCAATTTCTTACTCCAACCAAAACGGAAAGTAACCACCATGCCTTAGCCTATAATACCGTGGGAAAGTAATAAAGGAGAGCAGAACAAGGATACATCAAACACTTGAGTAAAAATCCCAATTGAGAACATATTCATCCCAAAAGAACAACTCCAAACAATACTTCTGAAAATGCAAACAAAATTTTCCAGCATAAATGTGCTTAATACACTTGAATACAATAAGAGCCGAAAATACTAAAACACAAGAAATGTCACAAGGCTTAAGCCTTATCGGCCTTGGCAGCAGTAGCAGCTGCTTGTCCTCTGAGCCTACCAGTCCTCCTAGCAGCAATAAGACCAACCTTCTGTCCGGGAGGAGCATCACGCCTAACGGTACTAGCATGGCCAATGTGTTGATGGTTACCACCTCCATGGGGATGCTCGACTGGGTTCATAGCCACACCACGCACCTTAGGCCAGCAGTTCCTCTTAACTCTATACTTATGGTAAGCATTACCAGCTTTAAGAAGAGGTTTCTCGGTCCTACCACCACCTGCAACCTGGCCAATCATGGCTCGACAACCACTTGGAACAATCTTCTTGGCACCTGATGGGAGCTTGATCCTGTAAAGATTATACCCCAAAATGTCATTAAGGTAACAAGTAATTACTCTGAACTTTTCACCAAAACCAATCACCATCCACTTTCTTCCAAGGATTAAACAAAAGCTATCAGGGGAACACGCGTGCATATTAAGGATATTGAAATCAGAATCCTTGTGCTTAAGAAATGCCTTATAGTTAAACAATTGTATCAAATGGATAGCAAACCTAGCAAAATACATGCAGTATCAAGCAAAATCAATAAATTATCAATGATGTATTCAAATAACAACCACACATAGACAAATCCAGATCGAAATTCAAATCAAAACCGAGAAAGAACAACAGACCTGGTGGTATCGTTGTCAGGATTGTGGCTAATAACAATAGCATAATCACCAGAAGCCCTAGCGAAAACCCCACGATCACCGACATGATGCTCGACGTTGCAAACGACAGCTCCTTCAGGGACAGATCTAAGGGGCAACACATTTCCGACAACAAGAGTAGCCTTCTTACCACAGTACAAAAACTGTCCGGTGTACATCCCCTCGGCGGCAACGAATAGTTCCTTCTGCTTCTTGTAACGGAAGGGATGACGGAAGACGACGCGAGCCAAGGGAGCGCCACGGCCCGGGTCGTGGATGACTTCGGTTACGACACCTTTGAGGTAGCCGTTCCGTTCACCGAAGTCAAGGCTACGGAAACGGGCGGGACCCTTGCGGTGGTGGGTGTGGGCCTTGAAAACGGAACCCGGACCCTTACGTTGAGCTCGGATGACACGACCCATTTTGGTGGGAGTGTACTGTGTGGCGGCGGTGAGAGTGGAGACCTCTCTCTTGGGGGCGAACGATGGGGTATAATAGAGAAAATGGGGTTAGGGTTTCCGGTCGAATAAATATGGTGATTACTTAGAGTAGTTTTGGGGTTGATGGTCTAATTATGGTTTTACTCCTCTTATTATACTAAAAACATAAAATGAATTCCTTTATTAATTTGATTCCTCTATTGTATAAGTAGGTTCAAATTAACAATAACGTTCATTTATTATATTAATAATATATATTTTTATTAATTAAATATTGTTACTTAAATTACTGTGTGACCCTGATTATGATTAAATATTATTAAAAATGATTTACAAATTAGTAACAATAAATACAATTATTATAATAAACTAGAACAAAATAATTAAAATGTTACTTTTAAAATACTAAAAGGACTAAAACTAAAATTAGACCTATATATAAAATATGTTTTTGGGCCAATTAGGGGCATTTTTTATGAAAATAATACTTATTTAATAATTAGTTACGAGAATAATATTTAAAAAATACTTTAAAATAAAATTTGTTTTAATCATATTGGATAAATATTTATTTAGATGAAACTACCTTAATAAAGATGTTCTTAGTTGAGAGTGTCTTCACCTTAACAAATGAGATAGAAGACGTTAATTGAAAGTTTTTCCTCATAAAATTTTCTTCAAAATTAGAAACGAATTATTTAAGGTTTGAAAATAGTTATAACCGAAATTTTATATACAAATATTATAAACGTAAATGAATTAAATTAAAATAAAACTCTCAAACATACATTAAAAAATAAATTTAAAATTATCAAAACTCAAATAGTTTTGGTCCTTCTAATAAAAAATAATTTAATTTAACTTGGACCAATACCTTGGTGAGTGTGTGGGGTGAATCGGGTCATGACATAATCCATACCGATCGGAGTTAGAGGCAGGAATCTGAAAATAAAAGAAAATATTTATGAACCATTTCTTTTTGTGGATTCATAATTTAAACCAACTTTATAATAATTCACATCCCACACACCCACATGTTCTATCTATATCTAGATAAATAATTTACTAAGCTGTTTTGCGAAAGCCATAACTAATCAGGATAGAACGAAGAGGGTAGTTGAGACTAGTTGTTCTTTAAAAAATTTAAATTAATATATATTTTCAATTGATAACTTTTTTCGTCATTTAAAATTTTATAAGCTTATTTCCTTTTAAAATTTTAAAAGTTCATCCATAACATAAGATAATGCGTCTGTCCCGGAGATAATGAACAACAAAGACCAACAATATTCCAAACCAAAAAGAAAAACATTTTACCTAAACCAAACCTCAATCTTGAAAACAGCCTGTTCACTGGTAGTGTTAGGGTTTCACTCAAAACAAATGGTGGTCCAAACCCTAATTTCATCACATTTGGGGTCACACTAAGGTTGTGTTTGTTTTTGAAGAGGTAAATTATCTGTAGTCTGCGGATCACATCTGCAGCAGAAGAGATGGACCAAAAGTGTGCAGTCTGCAAGAAGAAGACTGTTTGTTTTTTAACGTCTACAGACTGCTAAAATAAACTGAAATATAAAATAAACTGATTTTTTAAACTTAAAAGAGTTTTACAATACTGAAATTTAAATAATTTTAGTTTTATAATACTGAAATTTAAATAATCCATACAACTACAATAATAAATTTTTTAAAATAAATCAATTCATATTTTTAAAATAAATCAATCTATATTTTAAAATAAATCAATCCATATTTTAAAATAAATCAATCCATATTTTAAAATAATTTTTTCTATATTTTAAAATAAATCAATCCATATTTTAAAATAAATCAATACATATTTTAAAATAAATTTTTCCATATTTTAAAATAAATCAATCCATATTTTAAAATAAATCAATCCATATTTTAAAATAAAATTTTCCATATTTTAAAATAAATCAATCCATATTTTAAAATAAATCAATCTATATTTTAAAATAAATCAATCTATATTTTAAAATAAATTTTAAAATAGATTTTAATGATTTTAATTTTCCCGCAGACCTTTGAAGACATAAAACTATGTCTGCACCAAGAAGAGCTCGCACAGAAGTTTAAAGAGCTTCTGCCTTCTAAAATCAAACGATATGCAAAGCCCAATGTCCACGCGGCGCAGACATAAGAGCTTTGTAGACCTTACACAGTAAAAACAAATACCACCTAAGATCCTATAATTATAAGTATATTTAGACAGTCTGTTATCAAACTTCAGTGTCAATCATCCATTCTAAGTAAGTTTTGTTGAAGCTCTAAATGCATTTACGCCCAACTTCCGTTATTAAAGCAAGATTGTGGGTGGCTAGGGTTTGCCTTAGACTATGCTCATTGGCAGAGGGATTGATGAGAGAATAAAACAGATAGAGAAAGGTGAGATGTTGTGATGTTATGTTTAGAGATATGGGAGAAGAAAATAACAGCACAAGCGATGATTACCCGTAATAAAAAGCACATGGTACCATAGCCGGCAGCAACACTTAGTCCACACTTGGAATGCAGCCTCATCAGCTAGGGGTTCTGATCCTCTGGATAAAGAGAAAATAAAAAAAATCTTAGAAAAAAATAGTTTTTTGTTCAACTAGATAAGCTAAAAGAAACAATATACCAACAAGTAATTCAGAGATGTCTCCAAAGTAACAAGAAGGTGATTAAAGGATGATCATCTTTCTCTGCAATCTTGAGACTGAACAGAGAAAATGAGGCTGAAATATTAGCTAAATATAAAGATTACTATTCATTGATTTATCTTCCAAACGATAGGACTATATATGTTAGAAGCAAGGATGGTGTGTTTTTAAAAGATAAAAATCATGAAAATCAGTATGTCTGGTCTCAAATTATGTAATGTCATGTGTAATAAGTCCAACAATCTTTTGTATTAAACATTCCAAATGGAATTTATGATTTCCTTAGGGTTTACTACTTTTTATATACTAACCATTCCTCATGTGAGTTTCATATTATAAATTATTAGACATAAGAATACATAGAACCTTTGCTATTTTCCCCAATGCCCCGAAATCACAAGAACTCGTTATTTTCATTAATTCCCCACGGCTAAATTATTTTGCATTTCTCTCAATTTCATGTGAATATTCTAATGTCACACACACATATGCATTTATTTCATGGACCACAAGCTTTGGAAAATTAATAGAGCAGAAACAGGGAAATAAGAACTGGTAGTTTTGTTTTAAAAATGGTGATTTCTGACGGACAAAGCTACAGCTAATTATTTACATATCATATGATAAATTCAATTTAAAAGAACTGAACTTTGCTAGACCTAGGTATTTCCTGTGTTCCACTTAAAATCATATTTCATATAGCAGAAACTGAGCATACCAGCAGCTGGTTGACAGGGTAATCAATGCATAGACAAAAATGCTAGAAAGAAAAGCATTGTAATATGTACCTTTGTAATCTGGTTTCTGTGACTCTTAAAATATTACGACCATTTCATTCTTTCTTTCTTTCGTTTCCCATATCTGATCAAAAAGGCTCTGGTTAATTATGATAATATATATACCTCGTCATGCCTTTTCATCCAAGTAATTTCCACTGATATCCGCCCTTTCTATGCCCTCTTTTGTCCCTTCCCTTTTTATGAAAATTTTTCTGTCAATTTCAGTCTTCTATGATATCCTCTCTTCAGCCCTCCCTGTGCATGCCTCTCCTTTTTATATCTCCTCCATTTCATGCAGTTTTCACTTAATTAATTAAAACTTCTCTGATTCTCTCTCTCTCTTTACAATCTTTCTTTGCTTCTCTTTGTTTTCTTTTCCACCAAGGAACCCCATCAACAACAGCAGCAGCACAACCAACAAGCTCCAAATGATCAAGATAGTAGTGGCGGTGGCAGTGGGAAAGGGAGCTTTCTATGCAGGCAAAGCAGTACACGGTGGAGTCCCACCACTGACCAGATTAGAATAATGAAGGACCTTTACTGCAACAATGGAGTTAGGTTCCCGAGTGGTGATCAGATTCAGAGGATCTCTGCTAGGCTTCGACAGCACGGTAAAATCGAAGGCAATAATGTCTTTTATTGGTTTTAGAACCACAAGGCTCGTGAGAGGCAGAAGGCAAGGTTCTCCACTTCCACAACTCATCATCATGTCCCCATGCAAAGACCTACCAGTATCAATAACAAGTTCCCCACCAAAATAACTCCTGGTTCTTCCCTCTTTTCTCTTTCCTCTTTCCAACATAGACAGGGAATTAGATTTATTATTATTATTACTTGTGTTGCGTTTGCAGGTTATTCTCCTTCACCTCCTTCCTCAACTGGTGTGTTTACTGTTGGGTAAATAGGGAACTATGGGTATGGGTCAATGACCATGGAAAAGAGTTTTAGGGTAACTACTGTTAAAATAGTACATTCTAGTCATAGTTGGAAGTACTGTTAAAATAGTAAGAAATTTAACTAACTCAACATGTTTCTACATGCTAATGTTCATCCCATGATCCCTTGAAACATCTATAAAAGGAAACAACCCTTTTGTTTCCCTTCTTGTAAAAAGGCCAAACAGATTGGAGGTTGTTCTTCAAGCCAAAACGAATTCCCCATTTTAACCCCCCCCCCCCCAATAATTCACCAGGAGAGGATCCTATATATATAGCATATAGAAATTTCTACTTTTTTTTTAATCTCATCTATTTATGCCCAGGATTGCTCAATATCAGCATACGGTAGCAGTACAGAAAGTGCAAGCGAATCCCTGAGCCACAACTTCGGATGGGTGGGGATGGATTCTTCGAGCAGAAAAGATTAATCCATGGGATACACGAAGAGGGACAAGAGGATGAAGATTGTTATTATAATTTTGAAGAAGAAGAAGAAGCTGATACAGGTCCACAAATGGAAACCCTCCCTCTCTTCCCCACGCACGGAGAGGACATCAATGACTTTTGCAGCAACATGAAACCCGAGCCAGACAGTCGCTACTCGGGGTGGTACTACAGGTCCGAAGATGGCTACACCGGCGCCCGTGCTTCACTTGAGCTCAACCTCAACTCGCATACTGTCAGATCACAGGATTCCATCTAATGAAATATATTATGATGTCTAGTACTGTCTTCCAAATTTGCTACTAATTAACTAATTATGCCTTTAATACAGTGCAACCATCGGTTTCTACATATCATGTGCTGCTTTTTTTTTTGTCTTTTAGCCAAGAATACTCCTTGATAATGATAACATATAAAGAAGGTTTATGAATATGATGCTTGGTTGAGGAGAGTTCTACGCAAATGGGAAAGAGATGGTTTTCTGTCACCTTTACTGAATGACAGATTGACAGTATTAATAATCTAGCCATTTTCAAGCATAAGTTACTGGCAGCAGGACTGAATATGGTTTGAACAATCAATTCCAAAATTTACAAAGAAAAAAAGGCAAAAAGAATTTGAATATCTCTTCTCCCAGGGGGATTGAATAGCCAGTGAGCAAGTGGTTTTCAGTTTTCATGACCACTGGTTATTTAGGTGGGAGTTGGGGGTGACAGTGATGAGTTATATATGGAGTTCTGTTCTTTTTTGTTTAAGGAAAAAGATTTGTCGACGGCAAAAAAACAAAATCAAAGGACAAAGATACGGAGGCAAAGACATGCGGGGAAGGAAAGGGCATCATCAGAAGATGATGAAATGTGAGAATAACTTGGGGATACATGTACCGATGTACGGCCGCTATGATAAAAAGGTTCTTATACCTGGTTTAGTCCTATTATCCCACATAAAAAACGCAGCTAATTTCATCCTCCACCTTCATGCCACAACAGCCAATTTCTCATTCATCACCGCCTATAACTCTGCATGTAAGGATGTAAATAAATTGGGCTTGGTTAAATATGATTATATTTGTTTATTTATTTATTTTTGAAGGTGTATATGTTCATTTATTTATCTTCGTGTGTTTATGTGTTCAAAAAAATGGTTAAATTATGTCATTAATCATTAAACTCTTTAGTTTTCACAGATTGAACTCCAAAATTTACATTATATTCAATTTAGTACATGTAGTTGATAAATGAGCTTTCAAACGAGTTCGTTCGTAAAAGTAAATGACCCAAATAGGCAAATGCATCTATGTTTGTATTTGTTTGATTATTTTCTTACTCGTTTATTTAGTTTAATAAATAAACAATAAACTAACGTTATACGAACGATTCATGAATAATTCATCGAACACAATATTTATTTGAGAAAATAACCTCAGTGACCAAAAATGCCTTATAATATACGATTTTAACCAACTTTTTTTGGATTTGCCAAAATGACCAACTAAATCGCAATGCGATCGATAATTCGCAACGCGATCTCCGGTATCGCAAATCAGTTTCCAGATTCGCGTTGCGATTTATTCCAAATTCGTTGCGATAGTCCAAAATCGCAACGACCGGTGGTATTGCATTTGTTTATTAAGAATTTTCTCTAAAAAAATAGTATTCGCGCGGACGTGTCGAAGACACGTATTACCACGACCACGACCACGATATTATTTTTGAATGTTTTGCTTAAAATTGCAATAATCGCGATTGATTGTAGATTGACTTTTAATTATGACATATGACAAATCTAAAAAAAATTGGTTAAAATCGTATATTATAAGACATTTTTGATCAGTGAGGTTATTTTCTCTATTTATTTATACCCTAGCAGCATGGCAGCAGCAAGTGATTTTGATGATAGAGAGTCCGAACGTGGTGATGCAGTCCATAGGTATTCAACTTCTCAAATACGTAAATCACCTTACTGTTTCATCCCCCGATATCATAATTGCAAAAAAGGGTCCCTATCATCAATATGTATGGTTTTCCTTCATTTGGGTTTGACATATTTTCAGAGTTTATGGGGAGTGATGGAATCCAATGCGTTTGGAGTTAAAAGAGTGGGGACTGAAATGGGGAAACTAGAAACAATGGCTTCTGGACCTGGTTCATAGATATATGGAGATTTAGTTGTGGATCCAACAAGATCTTCAAAAGCATTTTGAGTCCACAACTACGTTATGTCCCATTACCAGTAAAGCTGAGTCACGAGTTGCATCATTATTTCTTTCTTTCTTCTTCTTCTTCTTTTCATCACTTTCAGATATCATTTCGGGTACGATCTTCTCTCCTCTAATTTTCTCTAAAGGGTTCTTTTTCCAAATGTGATGGAACATACGATTTTTTAATATAATAATAAGATAAATATGAGAAAAGGAAAATAAATAATAGACCCAGCCACCAACATAAGACATAGGAGCCCTTTTAATAAAGGTTATGTGATTCTACTAACAATTATTTGATTTAGTGACTAAGATATTATATCTTTAAGTAAGGTTAAAATTTTAATTTTGTTTTGTAAATATAATAATTTGAACTAAAAAATAGCATCTCAAATAAAAATTTATAATATTGAATTGATTGATTAATAAATTGAATATAAAATTCAAATATGAATAGAATTAAAATAGATTTTTATGATTATTTTGATCATTAATCGGTATTATTTTAAGTTTAGTATTTGAATTAATAATATTATTTTTTAAAAAAAAAGTGGATTTATATGCTACTGTGTAAAATATCCAAAAATTATTTGAATCTAAATCTATAAAAATCCATTAAAATTAAGGTGAAAGTCAAATATGGTAAGATATCCTAACCCTTTATTATTTCTATTTATATCCATACATGAACATATCTCTTTGTTGGGTGGAAGAAGATGTTCAAAAATATGTCAAGTTTTTGTTAGTTCAAATATTAATTAAATAAGATTTTTGTTCTTCTAATTTTAAAATTTAAATACTTAATAAATTTTTATCTCTCATAATTTATAAATCCTTGTTTCTTCCTGTATTTGATCCGACTCCATCTTTGCATTCATAATATTCATCGGAGTCCGATTAATAATATGGCTGGACGGGAAATGTAGAATTCAGGCGTCGTTTTCATATTTATGTGTGTCGTTTTCTATACTTTCTAATGTAGCAGAATAATAAGTGGTCCATGAAAGAAGAAGAAAATGAGGTAAAAGTAAAGGATAAGATGATGAATCTTTATTACTGAATCACACATGAATAATATGCACTGTTTTTGTAAATGGAGTTGATGTGCAATCTTTCTTTCATGGTATTTTTTTCGAAAAAGAAGCTGTAAAATGACGAAAGTAAACTCAGAGGTAGGTGTCAAGAAAACAACCGATCTATATCCACCAAAACCCAGAAAACTTAATCATCTTCTTCCTCTATATGAAAGCGCAGGTGTTTCCCTTTCGGCGTTGGCAATCCCTTCAACCGCATTGCATCACCTTCTTCCCTTTCCATCTCATCATCGCTGTTGTATACGAATCTTGTGTGCTTCCCTCTAAACATCTCTTCCATTCTTATTTTGCCTAAACTTTCACAAAGCTCGTCTATGTCTCCTCCATCATAATCGACGCCCACTTCTTCTTCTTCAAAGTAGTCATCAACTTCATCTTCATCATCGATGCTGCCATTATTATCAGTTGATGCCTTCTCCTTGCATGCACTACTTTTTCCTTGATCCTCAGAATAGGATTCTGATGAATCCTCAGAAAAATCAAGCAGCAAAGACCTAGTTATCACACTTTTCTGTGATTCGAGACTCGCTTCCTGTAATTTCTCCATTGTTCTCCATTGTTCTTCAACTACAGGAAGAGCTATCACTATTGAACCCAACCCATCCTCACAAAGATTTGAGAGCTGTGGTGTATTTGCAGGAGTAGGAGCCAAAATCCTCATTGGGGAATTCACACATCCAGCTTCTTCTTCTACTTTTTGCAAGAGAGTCTTGACTTGACATCTTAACAAAGCTTCGCCTGAACCAGGAGTCATCATCATGCTCTTGGCTCTACTACCCCGCTGCTTTCCTACAGCAGACGACGGCGTTTCCATTGCAAGCCCAACTATTGGCGAATCGTTCGTTATATCGATAAGAGCAGCCCTTTCGTTTTGCTGTTTCCCATTTGTTGTTTTTGTTTTCGACACAGTCTTGTCAGATTCTTCCTTGTTTCCTTCTACAAAACCAAACATCAAGAAACAAGGATTAGTAAAAGAACAACCGAACAAAACCCATATTATAAAATCTTAGATTTCTTTAATGAAAAAGAAGAAGAATGAAAATCAACTCACTGGAAAAAGTGATATTGCTGTTGTTCAAAGAAGCCAAAGTCTGGGACCTAGAAACTCGTCTGGTAGATGAAGGGGTCTCCATTGAAAATAACCGGAAAAAAGAAGAACCAGGTTGCCGGAAAGTCGAGTCTTTTTCGTTTTGAAAGCTTCAAAAGAAAAGATGGAATGTTTGTAAAGGGGAAAGAGGGAAAGCGATATATATGGAGATATGATTACACGGAGTTTAACTTTAAACGGTAATATATAAGAAATTCGACCGTTAGAGGCGAGCGCTGGCTGGGCGGCACATCTTTTTGCGAAAGGGGAAGGAAAGAAAGTAGCCGTTGGAAGGTTTCTTTATTTGAATAGAACTTGCATTGCATACGGTCCCGAGTTTTGTACGGTTGGTTCAATTATTTGATTAATGACATGGATTGGATAACTGGTTGCACCATTTGTCTTCTTTGGAAATTGGGCCTATGTTTAACTTTCAGGACGAATTAATTATTTTAATTTTTTTTGATGATATGTTGCATAATAATTATTAATTAAAGTATAATAAATAAATAAAAGTAAATAAAATATAAATTATATTTTTAAACATATTTTAATATAACTTTATAATAACATTTATCTTATTTTAATTTTATATAAATTTATATACATTTTACATATAATATTATTTCGATATCAAAATCAAATAGTATGATATAAAATTCTAGATTACGAGGATCAAGAAAAAATATAGCCAAAATTATGAAATGTATATATATATTTTTGTTACAAATAAAACTACTAAGAAATCAGTGGGTTATGCCAGTGTCCAGATACACTTTATATGTAACATCTTCAATACCGGATTAGTGACTAAATTGTAAAATTTTAGAATTTGGGGATAAAAGTAGAATAGTTGAATAGTTCAATGATTTATGTGGTAATATTTCTGGAAAGTTGTTAGTAATTATTAAATGAAGTAAAGGGTAAAATGGTCATTTGATAAGGAAGATTTTTATTTTTCCTTATAAGATAAGGAAACCACGTGGGAAGAGGGAAAAATGTTCCAGAGTTCTCTTCTCTTCTCTTATTCCTTCTTTATACGTGAAGGCTTAAACCAAAGGTGAGTCTTCTATTTAGATAATTTCTGGTTAAATTTAAGGTTTGTTTATGATCATTAGATGATAATTAAGCTTAAAGAAAACTTAAATCATCTTAAAAGCAAATGATGGTGGAGTTAGGAGAGATTAAAGATTCAGAGTTTTCAAATGAAATCTTAAAATAGAGTTCATTACTCAAATTGGAAGATAAATTTGACTTGTCATCAACTTAATTAAGAGATATGAAGTGATAGAATTGAATTAAGAACATATTGAAAAATTGGTATGATTATTGATTTCCATAAGGAGAAATGAATTTTGAGATTTAAAGGGTGATAAAGGAGTAGAAATGAGTTTAAGTATGTATATGAGAGTTAAGAATATGGTAGAGGATGTAATATGAAGTGTTTAAGTAGAATTAGAGTGATTTTCAGGCTTAAAAATGAATTCTGGGCTATGTGCATCGATGCACATTCAATGTGTACCGATGCATCAAGGGTAAATTTCCAGAAATTGTTCAGTGTGTATCGATGCACAGGAAGTGTATCGATGTACAGGAAGTGCATCGATGCACCCATTAAAAATGGAAACATCGAATGAAATTAGTGCATCGATGCATAAGGAGTGCATCGATGCACCCCCTTAAAATAAAAACATCGAAGGTGATTTGTGTATCGATGCATGGGTAGTGTATCGATGCACATGTTAAAGAATGCATCGATGCACTGTAGAATGCATCAATGCACTTCAAGGGGAAATTGAAATAGACATTTCTTTTGGTTTAAGAAATGATAGATTAGAGTATATCAATGAGACACTGATATGTATCAATGTATAATTATGTAGATATCAAACACGAACAAGTCCCGGAACGATTATCAAGTTATGATTCGATCGAAAGAAAGGAAATCGTAAAAGCGGTATTGACTAGTGAGGCCAGGTGAGTGCACATTATTTTATATATTATGTTTAATGGGAAATAAGACTTGTGACAAGTCTATTTTCTATAGTATTGTGCATGAGGTATGAATATGAATATGTGTTTGTTATGAGTGTCTGAGTTATATGTTATGGTATGTGTTGACATGTTATTGCGTATGTATTTCATGGTTGATGTGAATATATGCTATGTTATGATGATATAAACTATATGATATGATAAGAAATTATATGAATATAAAAGAGAAGTTATGTGATAAGATCTTTGAGATATATAGAAATGGAATATAAGACTACGCGAATACATAATATGGGATAAATTAGTTAATAATATGGGAATATGGTAAAAAGCGAGTTTAGAAGAAATGATATGAATGAAGTAATCAAATGTAAAGGTTATATAAACAATAAGAAGGTGAGTTGGGCAAGTAAATAGTGGTATGAACATTTATGTGAAATAATAAAATAGAATTATATCATTGAATGAGAATTGAAACAAGATAGATAATATTGACCTATATGATGATATGAGAATAGTAGATCAAATAGGAGACTTGAACATAAGTGATAATAGGAACATATAAGATGAGCTAGATGGGAAAGATACATATGCTTAAATAAAATTATGATATATGGGTTGTATGATAGAAATCTACGGAGTCATATTAGAAAGTTATAGGTACTATACGAATTGAATTAGGTAAATAGATTAGATTAATATATAAATGAAATAATAGAAGGGATATATGTTTATGAGTATGACAGAGGTGATATGATCTAGGTGAATATCATAGAATAAGGTATAAACTATATGATATGATATAAGTTATTTTATACATATATGATATAAGCTATTAATCAGGACATATGAGATTATGAGAATGAGAATATAAATGATGTGAATACGAGTATAGGAAAGATGATATATATAGGAAGATGAATTATATGAATACACATTTAGATGATGAAATGATGTATTATATGAAATGTGAATATATATATATATATATATATATATGATAAGACATAAAAATAAGATATAAGCGATGTGATAAGAAATGTGAAATAGTATGAAAAGTGGATATGAGCTACGTGATATGTGAAAGTGATCTACCTGTTTATACGTATATATGATTCAACTTATGTGACATAATCTACGTGCTATGTGAAAGTGAACTACGTGTTTATGTGAAAATGTGAAATGACATAAATGATGATGCCCATGTTATGTGTCATGAGAGCTAGGGTATAGTTGGCATGCCAAGAGTCGAGGGTCTACGTGGTCCTTCGGGACATATATGTATTCTTTGGAACATGTGTGAGGTCTTTTGAGACACATACCTGATCCTTGGCATATGTATATGAGTCTTAAGGAATTTTCTACGTGGTCCTTAGGGACAACCTTATATGGAACTTCGGTGCATTTCTACGCGACACTACGGTGCAATTCTACGTGGCTCTTTGGTGCATTTATACGAGCTGTGGTGACAGCATTAATGCACAACCTCTATAGACTCACATATCTATAGTTCTCATATTTATACATGGGCTAATAAAGAAATAACAACAAATACATTACATGTGACTTGTATGCTTTTGTGCTATGAATGGTATTATATGATTTATATGATGACATGTGGATTGTATGATTAAATGAGTCAAATGTTGGTTAAAATGCTAGGTATAAGAGGATATGTATTAATTGATATAAACGATAATAATATTGATAATGAAGTAAGGCTAATGATGGAAATGACGAGTGATGAGTATATGTGTGTGTATATGTTCTTATGTGTAATGATATATATATTGCATATGTGTTATAGGGATTTGTTACATGAATAAGGGTATGAGTGATAGTAGTAATTGTTCATGCATGATTACAAGCTATAGTTTATATTTTATGTTTATTTGCCTCACTAAGTCATAGACTTAGCGTGTGATTGTTTCACACGTAGGTTAAAGAAGTGAGAAGAGAAGTAAAGAAGAGCAAGACATGTCAGCATCTCCCTTACAAAAATTTCAGATCAAAAAATAGATAATTTAAATGTGTTTGGTTAATTTGAATATAATTGGCATGTACTAATTGATTGAGTTGAATATGCTCTGATCGATTTTGATTATTTTGGTCAATTTATGTAAATAACCCGCTTTTATTCTAATGAAAGTTTTAAATTTTCTTTGAATTTTGTCAATAGTCAAAGTTTGAAAAGTCAATGTGACACCTCATACTCGTATTCGGGTAGTGATGCAGGGGGATCCGAGACAGATGCTGCTGAGCTGTCAGATTGCACCTTGATGGCGCTGAGATACCATGAGTTGGCAGATCAGAGCAAAGGCGAGAATTGATTGTGATATGTTCCTCATTGAGGCCGTTTTGAGTGTGTTTCAGTCTTTTGGCCATAACTTTGGCTACGGGTGTCAGAATCGCGCATAAGACCCCAATCCGGAAAGCTCTTTTCGACCTCAAATTCTGCCGTTTTCCCCTCCAAATCATTAGATTTAGATATTTACTATTTATGGTAATATTTTGATTGTCAATTAGGAAGTCATTTTAAATCCGATTTCGGCCGGATTTTTTGCAGATTGCTTATTTTATTTTGAATTTCAATTTAGAGTGATTTTCGGGATTTTGCTATTTTTGGTAAAATTTCGATAAACAATATTTTTGGCTATAACAGTCCGGTTTGTGGACTGATTTTGGATGATTTTGATTTGATAATATTTTATTAAACCCTAGAGACTTTTTTTCTTTGGTTTTTGGGCGAATTTTCTCTTGTGAATCATTTGTTGGAACTAGCCTGCAGAATAATCGTTATTCTGTCTGGTGTCTGGTCGGGTACGGGTTGGGGGTGTTACATTATCCCTCATGAGCAAGGTTTGTATCTCGCTTGGAGGCTGCTGAAAACACAAGAGACCAGGAGGGCATTCCTTCCAATCTTGGCTAAAGAATCAGCAAACTCATTTTCTTCTTGTTTTATATAGATGATTTTGATGCACCACATCTGCTCAAGCAGATTGCGGATTCGCCGTGTTATAGTATCGTCATTAGGTTGTCCAGGTAAGTTTAATCTCCTCAACCCTTCACTATTATCAAGTTCTACGATAATCCATCTGAGACCATGGCTC